ATGATTCTATGATTCTATGATCCTGTTTTCCTGGGATGTACATTGTCACTGACTTCTACTCCCATCTGGGACTGTTACTTCCCAGGATCATAAGGATACTTGCACATCCATAAATGCATTTCCTTTAGTGTTCAGCTAAGGGGGCGACACCTGCAGTTCTCCTCTTTGGGATGTGGAAGGTAAAGAAACAGCATAAGGCTGTGGGCATTACAGGGAGACAGTCCCTGGTCCCATCATCTCATGACAAGCTCAGTATCTGTAGGATGTTGAATATCCACAAGAGCCTGTGTAGTTGAAGGAGGAAGTGTAAAACAGGTTTTATGTTTTGAGTATTCCCATTGCCTTTTTAGTGTGGTAAACAAACGGTGTTTAGGTTTCCTCTAGAAATAAACAGGCAGGGGCCATGTGGCTAACAAAGCTTTGCAGACGTGTGGCAGCACAGAGGTGACTGCTCCAGGGTTTGGGTCGTGTCAGCGTGTCCATCACAGGCTTACAGCTGACAGATAGCGTTTGATTCAGTCTGAAACCTGGCAAGGTGTTCCTCTGCCCGAGAAGGAACTTTCTTCCTTTTCAACTCAAGTGTATCTGAATTCTTAATTTTTCTAGGATTTTATAAGCACTTCCAGAGTATTAGCTGCTGTAATACCAGTGGGAATGCCAAAGTGATTCTCTGGCAGAAGGATGCAGCGTGTGCGCGTGTAAAACACTGGGGATTTAATATACGATGAGATATGTTGTATCATCTCTCCGGTTTGATCACACCTTGTGGTAAAGGGGCTGTAATGCTTATCACAGCAAGCAGTTTAGTTGTCCGGGGAGGTGTAATGGAGAAGGCCTGGAGCAGGGTTCACGGCAGAACTCTGCCGGCGTGTGCTAACCTTGAGTTCCAGTGTTGTACCTGTGCCTTTGCTGGGCTGATCTTTGGGCAGCTTGGGTTTGTGTTACCTTGCAGTGAGTCCCATGGCGATGTTCAGATGAATGTGGAATAGACTCAGACTAGAAACCCATTATCTGGCCAGTCCTCAGGAGGTATAAAGTGATAGGTCTCCTGCCTTGACTGGAGCTACTCACCATCCAGAGAATGATTTATGGCAGAGCCTTTCTGTTGTAGAGGTGCCAAAGAAAGCAGTGGGAATGGTGTGGATTACTGTATTCTGTGTCATTAAAAACAATCTTGGGAACTGATCCCTTCCTCACTCCTGCCTATGAATTCAAGCACCTTAATCAGTGTTTTGAGTGTATAATATTTGCCTTCTGCAGTTTGAAATGTGTTAACCATGGCACTCCTTAAATAATACTACTTTTTTTTTTAGGTCACTTAGTCAAAAATAGTGTAGTTAAAGGAGATACAATTTTCCTGACTTTATTTCACAGTGCACTGAATGTCGAGTGCTGCCCAACCACTAGCTGGTGTCCAGACCTAGCTGATGCTGACAGAACATTCATTCATGCAACATCCTTCCTTTATTCCTCAGCTGTACTTCACCAGAAGTGCCTCTCAGGCACCCGCTCCCAGGGCTGCAAAACAAAAAGCTTCAACTTCTGTCTGTGTTCGGTTATCTTGCAAGCTTTGAGGGAGCTGGAGGGATGGTTGGGAAAGGAACCTAGTGGAGCTGCCCAAATGCAGTGTCATTTAGAAAAACCACCTTACAGAGACTCTGCCTGTGGTCACTGGAGTCTGTGCGAGTCCTTCATTGACCTCTAGTGTTTGGGTCAGGGTCTAGTTAGTGACAGTACAGTCACCTTGTTTTACAGAAAATTTGTGGATTACATGTCACCGTTATAGTACACGTGTAATATGTAGGTGTCTTTTTAATCATATTACTGATGAAAGCTGTATTAACTGTTAGTGTATTCATATTGCAGATGTCATGTAACTATTGATGGTCCTGTTCAGGACAATATTACTCCAGTGATGAAATGTCACGTGCTTGCCATTAACCTCTAGTTCTTTCTCTCCTCTGCCCCTTTTTTTTAGAGACCTTTGAGTCTTTGCTTCGCTTTGCTGAGAACCGCACAAGTTCCCTGTTTGAGACAGCTTACAGACCTATGGCAAAAGAAGCAGCAGAGCCTGTTAAAGAACTGTTTACAGACCTCTCTCTCTACATTCTGGGCGCAGAGACTACGGTGGAAAGTGCAGTATTACGGTTCTTTGACAGTCTCTTCCCTCTGGTGTATAGTCGGCTAATAAACCCAGGAATTACAGATTTATCAGAGGACTATACAGAGTGTCTGCGGCTTACAAGGCAAGACATAAATCCTTTTGGACGCTATTCTAAAACCCTGGTTACAGAGCTGTCAAAATCTCTTTGGGCAAGTCGGATGCTCAGCCAGGCCCTCAGTCTGGGCGTCGAAGTGATAAATACTACTGAACATGCAGCTCTCACCAAGGAGTGTAGCAAAGCTCTGGTGAAGATGCAGTACTGCCCACATTGCCAGGGCCTGACGCTCATCAGACCCTGTGTCGGGTACTGTCTGAACGTCATGAGGGGCTGTTTGGCCAGTGTGTCAGAACTGGACATGCAGTGGAGGGGGTACATCTCCACGCTGGAGTATCTGACTAACGAAGTGGCTGCCTCACACGACCTGGAGACTGCGCTGACGGGAATCCGCAACGCCGTCAACGAAGCCGTCCTGCACGCGCAGCTCAACGGCCCACAGCTCTCTGCCACAGTAAGTGCCTCCAAGTATTTGCTGCTCCCGTTTATCACTTGCATTATTTGATGAATAAACACTGAAACAATTTGGCGTTGTCTTTGTGTAGGTTTTTAGTCTTCCACCTAGATCTTTGTTTAATAGTCCATGAAAACATTACCGATAATTATGATGGTGCTCAGTGGTCTGCTTTGAAATGAAAGGGTTGGGGGGAGTTTGACAAGCCACCCTGTAAATCATAGAATCATAGAATCACAGGGGTTGGAAGGGACCTCGAAAGATCATCTAGTCCAACCCCCCTGCCAGAGCAGGGTCACCCAGAGTACATCACACAGGAAGGCGTCCAGGCAGGTTTTGAATGACTCCAGTGCAGGAGACTCCACAACCTCTCTGGGCAGCCTGTTCCAGTGCTCCGGCACCCTCACAGGAAAAAAATTTTTCCTGATATTCACCTTGAACCTCCTATGGTCCAATTTGCACACATTACCCCTTGTCCTATCACAGGTCAACACTGAAAAAAGCTTAATTCCATCTTATCTTGGTCTTGTCTGCAGAATTTCCTAAACAAAAAGCTGGGGTATGTTTTACTTATCACTGCTATAAGCAGTGTATTTTCATACTCTAAAACATCTGATCCTGTAGGTCTAAGAGCAGTGTTTCCCTGGCGTGAGTATGGATCGTGTGTGGGGACATTCCATAGAAGTTGATGTAAGGGTTTAGAAAAGCAAGTTTCTAAATAAAGGCAAAGAAATTAACTTTCATAATCTTAGAGCCCCACTTATTTTTGTGTTGACTGAGACATCAGAAACGTAGCATGGGTCTTTTAGGAGTACACCTATCATAAAACAAATAGAAAAAAGAGAGTGGAAAAAAATCAAACTTATTTGACAGCATTTACGTAAGTTAAAGGATAAAAATAAAGTGGATTTGTTTTTGTAAGTGGTAAGGAAGAAAGAACTAGGATAGTAGATCTGTCTCATAATAATAGCAGCATATGACTGGCAGGTGTTCTCTCAAGGTGTTGAACATCAGACCAGAAATCATTGCAATGGCTGATCCTGCAGCTGATGACATCTGTATGAGGTTCAGCATGACTGTCAAGGGGAAAATTGCAGCAGTGTGGCCTTAAGCAGGGTAAAGACTCACTGAAAAAGTACAGACAGATATGTCTGTCTTGAAAGCAAAAGGATCCTTGCAGAGAACAAATGAGGAGGAAATGCACAGGATGAAAAGTTTAATTCCTGTGCTGACTTCTGGTCACCTTATTATGTGAGAGAAAAAAATAGTTCAAAGAGTTTACAGAAAGAGGCTATGGCAGAGGGTATCTGTATTAAGGAAGTATTTTACTGGGAGAAAAATGCCTGTATGTGTTCAGCCTTGAAAGACACCTAATATCACAGATCTCTTCAGTTTAGAACATCCAACTTACAGTCAATATAAATGTAGCAGGCTCAAGTGTTATTGACAAAAAGAAAGGGAGAACCTGAGGCAATGTGAATTGAGATAACTACAGATATCAAGTGAAAATGTTACCAGATTATGAGAAGTACTTGGGGGTTTTTATAATCTACATTTAGCAGGTCTTCACCGTGCTGATATCTACTAGTCATAACGTGTCCCATAAAGCAATGTTAAACCTAGAGCACAGGATGAATGATGTTCTTGCAGATGTTGTTCCCAGATGTTGTTTCTGTATGAGTCTAGAAGGGAACTGAAAGTCAAAGTACATGGTTAATATATATTAGCATTGTCTGACTATAGATACATCCATCCTAAATCTTTGAGTTGCTTCAGTACTGATTACACAGAAGCAATTAGGAATAAAATTAAGCTTTCTGATTACTGGCAGCAAAAATGGTCTGGCAGATATTTCCTGCAATACAGAAACATTTCCTGCATGTCACAAAACGCTAAAACATAATTCTGCACTGTGTGTGTCAGCCCTCGTAATGGATATGCACTTGCTTAGCTTACTGACAGGGTTAAAAGTCATAATCTGGGTGAATATCTGGTAATTACAGCTGAACTCAAGGAGTATATTGCTTTTAGCTGATTTGGAAGTAGGATTCTCTCTGAAGTGTCTTTCAGACTGAGGATTTTCTTTAATGATTATTCAAATAATTTTATTTGGGTCTTTCTCAGTTCCGTAGCAGTAACTTTGACCATATTCCTTCTTCCAGTCAGAATGAATTCAGAAAATGATGTTGCATTTGAAATTACATTAGTTCTTATTTTCCCCCAAGTTATCTTTGTTTTCTCTCTAGCAAAATCTCTGTGCACAGAAGATTGTGTGTTGTTTTAGGGACTGCAAAGGATGTTTTCTGTTTGAAAATAAAACTTAAATGCCCGTGTGTGTTATCCTCAGTCTTCTCACCTTTTCAGTTGTCAGAGGGTAAGATTACATTCTGAAGACAGAGCATGTTCCACTATTTGAGCAAGCGTTAATCTGATACTGATTTAAGACTTCACTGATTAGTTAGAGAGGATAACCATTACTTAGAAAATTGAGTCTAATTAAGCTATATTTCCTTCTCTGAAGAAATGGAAATCCTCAGTTCCAGGATTTCTGGCTGTGTGAGATGGCTTCTTGGAATCTGGGCTCTGATTCCCAGTTACACTAGGACCCTTTTGGGCTGTGCTGATGAGATTTGTACCCAGTGTATTTACTGGGTTTTTTTAGGGGAAATTTTTTTCAGAAAAGAAGATACCTTCTCTTTGCCCGTTGTAAAACTGTAGAGGCCTTTTTCTCTTCCTGCGTTGCGCTCTTCAGCTTCTGCAAAAGTGGAGATGTTGAACTCGTGTACAGTTTCCATTACAAATGTTGTAATTGGTTTCATTCAATTATAAATAATCTATGGAAACGCATTCAGGAGAGCAGAACACTCCTAGTAATTTTAATTTCTCCACAGGTAGCCTTAATTAATACACCTGCCCTTTTAGGAAACATTTTTTTACATTTTTTTTAATAGACAATATGGCTAAAAATTAGAGTTCTTTTTTAGCTTGCAGCCTGCTGGATGATAATGAATAATGGAAAGTTAGATTATGTTTTCTTTTAAACGGGGGAAGGGTTGAAATAAAGCAATAAAGCACTCAGGGTACTTTGCTCAAACGAGGTGAAGTCCATTATTATAAATTAAAAAAAATCCCGTTGGTGCGAAGAGCGCCTGGCTTGAAGAGCCTGGCCTCAGCCTGGCCTCTGCTGCTTCTGTGCAGGACAGGCTGGAGAGCTGCCTGGTCTGGTGGCTGGCACGTGGGGAGGGTGAGCTGCAGCAGTGCCCCCCGGGAAGCGGCAGAGCGGTGTGCCGGGGGCTGCTGTGCTGGGCACAGTGGAGAATGCTGGTAGGGTTGGAGAGAGCTGGGAGGCAACAAGAGTCCAAGGACGACAGAAGCACTGAAAGAACGGCCTGTATTTGGTTCTTGCAATATGCTTACAAAATAGCTGGTGTCCTATCTTGAAAACCAAATGGAGGGAGCTCGTATGATTTGTTTAGTAATACTCAACAAAAAGTAAATGATAGAGGTAAAACAAGAATGAGGATAATTTGGGGTTTTTTTTGCAGTTCTTAGCACAGTACTCCAGCAGCACCTCATTTCTAGAGGTATTTGAGGGTAGACTTTCAGTGTCCTTTCCAGGCACATGTGGTGCACCCCCACACGTATCTTTAGCCAACTGGAAGCTGCAAAGATTTGTTTAACGTTGCATTTAACTGGAACAAATAGTTCCTTAGCACCTAATACCTTTAGTACTGAACAAGGAAACTATGTAGATATTTACTAGGTTCAATTTAAGGGTGGAAGAGAAGCATCTGCCTCTGGAAGAATATACCTGGTGTATCCTGAAATGCCTCCATTACTGTGGTGGGCTTGAGCTGGAATTTAGAGGGGGGGTCAACCAAGGGAAAAGAAAATTACAATCCTGCCATAAATGTTCTGGTAGAAATTCAGCAGTATATGGTAGGCTTAGAGAAAATAATTTAGATGATCTGAAAGTATTAGGAATGGAGAAGGAAAAAAATCCAGAGAAATAAAAATCCTGAGACCCATTAAAACGGTCACCTCTAGGAAAATAAAAGCGTAGAGAAAAGACTGCCAAACTTCCAGCAGCAGGAGATTGATGCCCGATAAGCTTACAGATTTGAAAAGGAAATGGCAGTACTATGAACAAAATAACTTTGTGCTGAGTTCACAGCAACAAAGAGTTTCTGCCAGCCAGTAATGAACTACTTGATTAAAGACATTGAACAGTATCATAAAACACTCCTGAAGACTTTGGAGAACACTCAGAGCTGAACTCAGGTGCTTCCTTCCTGCAAGTTTTCCAGTTCAGGTGATCAACACCAGCTGTCAATAAGTATAAGAACCATACTTAAAGCAGTATATTCAATTCCTTGTAGTTAGATTGCTGAAAATGTAAAGTGAAAGATATATTGTGCAATGTTTGCACTAGAAATATTACTTTAAATGGCATTTTGCTTTTTTGAAGCACTTTGTAGGAAACCTCCTGTGAAAACAAAAAACGGAAGACACGTGGTGACCTTGAAGGAGCTGGAATGGTTGCCTTATTGAAGTTCTCTGCTTTAGTGGTGCCTCTTGCAGAGGTGATCTTGACTGACACAATCACTTTGAAGGTGTGACCTTGTGTATTTTGTTGTCGTGGACCAAAGTTACATGCGTGTACATCAGGTTCAAATCCCTTTTGAATCCAGGGAAAGGAGGAGACCTTTTAGAAACCTGGTGAAGTGACCTGAAGAGACACCTTGTAATGGAATGAGCCATTTCTGTGCAAAAGGTAGAAGAATGGTTTTCAGTGCTGTAAGACATACACAAATATGCCCATATTAAAATTTTGTTTTATTTCTCTTTGGCTTTATAAGCATTAAGATACTGCCCTCATCTTGCAGCCAGTCATGAATGAATTTTTAAAAATGAGCAGTGGAACTACATATCTGGAATCAACTGAATTTCATGGAGTATAAGCATCTAATTCTTGCAGTCAGCTTTTGTAAGTCTTGCCA